ATGTATTCTTTATACATAAATTTGTTAAATAATAATTAAAATTAATGTCAATTTTTTAAATTATTTTTTTCGTTCACAAAATGTTTCCCTTTAATCTCCTCAAAATATTTATGTATGCTCTTTCATGTATTAAATGCATATTTAACGTTTATATAATATTTGTTATAACACAAACACAATAAAAACAAATTTTGGATTGTATTCATTTATCATAAAAGAGAAAAAAAATGAGAGAGAAAAATGTAAGAAGAGAGAGGGAATTTTCTCTCGTATAAGAAGATATTACATTGCGCTATTTTGAATTACAAAGAAAAGAATCTTTCACGGAAATTTTGGCAGGATCATCGTGTAATTTAGTTTTTATATTATTCTCTGGAAATCTTCAAAGTATCTTAAGATTCCAAACAGATCGTATTTTTCTAAAAGACAGCTTCAGATGACGAAGATGTACCATGACAAAATTTTGTGCAATCTACAATAGCATGAGATAGAAATTATTGCAATCACTTTGTTTTTAAAGAACCTCATGTCTTTTCTCAGCTAATTTCAAGAATCAACAAAAATCTCTCGTTGACTCCGAAATTGTGAAACATTATTAAATTTTAAATACTTTCAAAAATTTATAAAAGTAATCTTAGAAAATATAAATGTGAGATAATTCAACGCTTATGAGAAATCTTGAGAAATATTAAATATGTAATACAATAATATTTAAAATACGTTATCTCTTTTGTTATTAGAAAACGTAATACAATATGTTTGTCGTAACATCGGTTAGACTAATTACACGATAAATATAGTTAGCATAAGCCACCAATGTGCGTATTGCATTTACGTACGCAGGATGTATGTAACGTCATTGTGCGAACAATACCTCAACTTCGAGTGAGCCACCGGTTTTGGCACGTTGTAATAATTATCGCGTTTCAGCTGCCTACCCGTATGCAATATCAATCCGGTGGATTTCGGCATCCCATAATGGTCCACAAGCTGAGCCAGCTTAATTTTGATAAGTTTGCAGATTACAAATGTCAATCATAATACTCGTGCAATAATGATACACAGTTATGTGAATTAGATCAAAATTTTAACATGCTATCCTATATACATGTATATATATATATATATATTTGTGTGCGCGCGCGCGTGTTCTTATGTGTTTTTAGAAAATTAAATATGCAATCACGCACGTGACGCACTTACGAATAAAATACTTTATATAAATATATAATATCATGTAGTAATTATGCAATCATAGTTCTTCACCATTATTTTGCATAATAAAGTAAAAAGAACGAAATGTGGAAAACTATGTAGGAAAACCATGTTAAAATTACGCATATTTATTATGCCCCTCTACTTGACAGCTACGGTTACGTGTAAAATCAGACAATAGTACAAAAATAAAACGGAACAGATGTATCAGAGTTTCCACACTAAACTATTTGCGATAGTATTGTATAGATGCACTCTCTTGTTTGTAAAATATAGAAATAGAACTGAAGACGAGTTACCAACAGAAAGAGTTTTGTTAATTTGTTGTATCTTTATAACTTTTTTATTTTATTTTTAAATTATTTGTTTAAAATTTTTCAGAAACATATCTTTTGTTAGATTTAACTAAAATTAAAAATAAGAATTTATTATTTATTATATTTTAGAAATTTAATATATACTGTATATTTTATTGCACTTGTATATTTAATATGTATATGTATTAAACGTCATATATTTCTCAAAACATGTTGATTTCAACAAACCAAGTTTAAAATTAAACTTTATACATACCAAAGTTTGTTTAATTAATGGCTACTTCGCCAACACTCGGCATATATATATATTTACATCGAAATTGCATCTTGTTGCAGTACATATCTATTGTAATTAACATGCATCCTCTAGAATTATTAGATTTCTGTGCAATACACAACATACCGTGAACAAAATAATTAATTCAATTACTATAATTTCTGCCAGTAATAATAATAATAAAATTCCACTTTTTTAAACAAAATACCATATATCAAAACAAGTCTTTCATATCATACATTACAACAAAGATATAAAATTATTTTCCAGAATATATCTGAAATGAAAGATTAAAATGATAAATTTTTATAGACCTGTAATATATTTCTAAGATTTTCCATCTTATTTTCTGCTTAGCGATATCCAATTACACGACTTATGTATATGCAAGCACATTGGAAAATATCCATAAAACTTCAGAAATGAACAAGCAAGCTTCTTACCCTTTTCTTTGTCAGTGACAAAGTTATTTCGAGCAAATGGATATAGTATAATATCTCAAAGCTGTCCTTTTCTTTAGTAATCTTGCTATAGGCTAGAATGATATTTTATTTTCCGAAAAATATTATAAATTCTTCATAATTATTAAATATGATATAAATAATGATAACTAAAATCTAAATTCCAAACTTATTTAAATTTTTGTTGCATAAAAATAATTTCAAAGTTTATCTTGTAAAGCTTATCCTCCATTTCTATATTATTATATAATTCTTTTTAGGAGTAGAATAAAACACTTTCTTTAAATAATTCGCAAATTTGTACGAAAAACAATTTATTTCAATAATAAAGAAATAACAT